CTGCGCTGGGCGGATGTGGTGTCACTGGATCAGTCACAGTGTGTCACAGTCTTCGGTGGATTTGTGTGATGTTGTTTCAGTGGTGGCGTCATCGCAGTGTCACACTTTTTAGTTGTACCTCCTGTATTGTCACGAAGTCACTGGTGGGAGCAGCGGTGATGCATATCCCTGTAATGCTACAATTGTCACAATTGCCCCTCAATTTGGCGCACCTATCACGACTGAAAAACAGTGAAATACATCATATATGTGTTTCTGTGATAGCGCAATAACACTTGTGAGAATTAATTAATTCCCCCCTTTTATTCGTGGCGCAATGTTACCTCTTAGGATGCATCCTGTGTTTCCATGTCATATATGTTACCAATCGTGAGGATGCGTTGTATGTCTCTACTTGTAATAGTGTGTCATCTTTGTCACAATATCACGTCTAAGTTGTATATGGTATACGCTGCATATTTCGCAGTAGTTTTTAAAATTTTCCGTCCCCGAAAATAACAACACGCGAATAATTCATACCAAATAATTCATAATTCACTGACCGCGAAATTAACCAAGTCGTGAAACTGTCCGTCAAGTCTGATTTCGCGAAAATATCTGTAAGCGAAAAATATGCATGGCGTATACATGCAGTAGTTCCGTTCCTGCCACTGTTACTATATCACTCGTGTGATATAAACTCTGCAACTATGTAATTAAACTATCAATAGCTGATAATACCTATATTATAGCTAAATATGTATTATTTGCTAATATTACACGTATTGTTAGCTCTTGATACTATAGTATTGTCACCTTTTTACCCGTGAGATGTTTGTACAACCTTCACGTACTGATTTGAATGTCACGCTTGCCATCCACAGAGTGCTCAGACAAGTCATTTTGTTCATGTTACCCGTGAGACACGTATACATTCCCACGTACTGTTTACCAAGTTGCCTGTGCCACGTATGTATACTATCAGGAGTGAATAATAATAGAGTGATTAATGGGATATAATCACGAGTGAATCATAATTATTTCTATTATTATTCACTGCTGATACTATGTCCTTTTTTCACACAATGTTACAACTTCACCTGCGAAATGTATCCAATAGCTATACTCGTAGGTAACATTATTTCCCTGAAACGGGGGAGAGGGGTTACATTTCAGTTGCCTATAGACATAGGAAAGAACCAACCCCCAATCATAGACAAGGTTTCACTGATATGAAGCCTATTCTCATATATTCTCAATATTTTAATAATGACAAGCTTGTCTGGAAAACGACCTGTGTCATATCCTACCATAGCACATTATTAAATTTTTTTTATGAAGATGACAAATAATGAGACATTTTTCATGAAAAACAAATAGAATAATAATATTAATTATTATCATCATTACTATTATGGACCCATTTTAGTAGCACTGTTCTGTAGGTAACCCCCTCTTTCTCTGCACAGGCAATCACGCACACACGTGCACGCACACACACATATATAGAGTATAGTAACGTACAGTGTACAGTTATTGTGATAACGATTGCGCAAGCACTCAACGTTTGTAAATTAGTGGTTTAGTTTGGAACGCGGAAGTTATAGAAAAGCCTTCCATTTTCAAAAAATGCATTTACGTTCGATATTGGTCTAAGATTCGTGCAGTCCCTCGACAAGATTATGTTCACAATGCTATTACTATGTGGTGGCAATTTGTTTACAATGTTATTACCATGTGGTTGCAAGAATTATTTGTCGTAAGATTGGCAGCATATTCAATATATAAGATGCATCGTGGACAGTAGTTAGTTTCAATAATCATGTGATGTGGAAAATTGGTGGCGAGCAGTTTGATGTAAAAAATGAATATTGATGTAAAAAATGGATATCCCTCTATTTTTTTCATATGCTTGTACATGAATGTTGGTATGTTAGTCCGCATACTATTCCATATCCGCAGTGCGACTTTGGTTTGAAGGCCTGCAGCTGTCAGTAATTGAAAAAAAAGCTTGCTAGACTAGAATGATCTGACACAATGCTTGGTCACTTTATAGTTTTCTTTATATTAAAAATTCAGTAGCACTATTTTAAATGTCATATTTGCGTCTATGTTTTTTTCCCATTGGCAGCTTCGTATTAGTCCGATGTTGCAATTGTATCAGTTTTAATTTGCTTGCATATAAAATGTGTGCGTCTACCAGAAACTAAATTTATGTTATGCAGTTATAGAATGCTCATAACATTCAACACTATAAGACTGCCATCATGAATTTCTTCTATCATGTCCTATATTCTACTCCTGCATTTGTAGCGTGGTGACCTGCCAATTTGTGCAAATATATAAAGTCGTATTTAATGTTCGTGAGATTATTGTGTATATTTAGCAAGTTCAGCGTCGGCAGTGGTTTGTTTAGGGATGTTTTCATCAGATGTTCAGTTGGTCGTAGAAAAACACAATGATTCGAAAGAAATTGTCAAATGAAACGCGAGAAAGATGTGCTTCGCTTCAGCTGAACAAGCTTGTGTATGAATGGTAATATAATCTCAAATCAACATCAAAATTGATATATATATTTTCAAAAAATCTCAACTATGCTTATTTGTAAAGCTGACTGTTGAAATACGTTCTTGTAGCTATTAGCTCTTGTCGCTTTCCTGGTCGTTATTGTTTTATTTAAGCAGGAGTAAAATAATCTCAATGAAGTCATCATTGAGATGATTTACTAAAATTGAATCTCTGAAATTACTGAATCAATTTTTTGAAATCATCTCTGAGATCATTTTCACTTGATATCAGTAATGCGACGACATAATTATGACGACTGCTTTAATTAGTTAGTATAGGGCAATCAGTGCAACCATGAACGACTAGTGTCAATTTAATCTGATCTTCTGCTTCATAATCATCCTGTTGTAAAGCAGGATTTCAGACGAAGCAGGAGCTTCTGCTCATTGTCAAGTCTGTAGCTCACATGGTGTACATAGAGAAAATGTTTTTACTCGAAAGAGCTTTGCAGTGCGTTCGACTGAACAGTTTTTACGATATTTTTAGTATCAGGTGCGTAAATTTATGGACCATTTGTAGTTACCTACGTGAGTGTGTTGTGATCTTGAATAAATTCAGATAACGAGCTATGTCATTATGTCTTTCCTAAATTTACTTCAGCCATGACTCATCCTTCTTCTGAATCTAGGTTTGGTTCGAATTAATACGTGCAGTGTACAACTCATGTCATCCTTCCCATATAGATTAAACAATATAGACAATTATAATAAATTCTATAATAAATCATGAAAATGTCATAGAAGATAGATAGGATCTCGTTTATTTTAATTGAGGCGTCACATGGGTAGAGGACAAAGAAGACAGGGATTTTCTCTGTGGCGAAAAACTTTATCGATGAAAATTTAGTATGAAAATGAAATGACACGTAGTTATAATTTGGACAATACCTTGAAATAAAAACGCGCAGTCAGCCACCGTACTATTCTTTCAATACATGCAGACATAAATCTTTAGGGTAATATAAATATTACTATGAATGTAACAAACAATTAGAATGTAGAAGACGCGCACACACGTGTATGTATGCGCACGTATGTGGCGTATATAAAAGTACATCATACAGTACATTATAGACGTGAAAAGCTGTCGTAAAAAAGGGTCGATACATCGATATCGCGTGAGATACGCGCGCACATCACACCATATTAGGAATTATTAGCTATTGATGCTAATTGTGCATGGTGGTATCGTCCAGAGGGACGTGAACTGTTTCAATGATGAAATGATAGTAAAGTTCATTTTAAATGCATAATCTTTGTAAAATATTAATCTTTTCGAATGATATTGCGCATGCGCGAGCACCTTTTCATGCGTGCAATACGGACTGATGAATACTGCATAACATGGTTTGCTGAGAGAGAGAGAGAGAGAGAGAGAGAGGGGGGGAGTGGGCGACTGAGAAACTGCAGCAGGGAAGATAGCTGAGAGGCAGTAGAAAAAGAAGGAGGCTGAGCGAGGGACAAATAAGGCAATGAAAGGGCGGGAGGGAATGAAGTAGGAGTTTTGTACCCTACAGGTTGGGCGGTTTTCTATAATAAATGCAGGTCTACTTATAATAATTTATTACATATCTCTAGGCTGAGATACGCCCTAACCATATTAAATGCATATTCATCACAAAATATATTCTTCTAGTGAGATTTTGCGCATGTTCTAACACCCTAACGTAGCCAGATTCTGTACTGACTGGTATATGCATCGGTCACCTTACCTGCAGGTTCTTTCCCCTATTTCTTAAGTGAGGTCTACTGATAGAATATTGTCATATACATCTATGCTAGGATAACTCCTCTTCATTTTACACGCATAATCTTTGCAAAATATTATTGTCCCCGGGAGATATTGCACATGTACGAGCACCGTTTCAGGCGTGCAATACGGACTTATGAATACTGCATAACATAGCTTGCTGAGAGAGAGAGAGAGAGAGGGGGTTGGAGTGAACGACTAAGGAAAGGCGGCAGGGAAGATAGCTGAGGGGCGGTGGAAGAAGAAGGAGGCTGAGCGAAGGACAAATATGGCAAGGAGAAGAACGGGAGGGGATGAAATAGGAGTTTTGCACCCTATAGGCTGGGGCGCTCTCCTAGTTATAAACACAGGTCTACTGATAATAATTTATTACATAAATCTAGGCTAGGATACTCCCTAACCATATCGAATGCATAATCATCAGAAAATATAACTCTTCTAGTGAGATATTGCGCATGCGCCAACACACTGACGTAGACAGATTGAGTGCTGAGTGGTATATGTAGCAGGCACCGTACATGCAAGGTCTTCTTCCTATTTCTTGAGTGAGGTCTACTGATAGATAGAATGTTATTATAGAAATATATACTAGAATACCTCTTGTTTATTCTAAATGCATAATTTTTGTAAAATACTACTCTTTTCGAATGATATTGCGCATGCGCGAGCACCGTTTCATGCGTGCAATACGGACTGATAAATACTGCATAACATAGCTTGCTGAGGGAGAGAGGGGTGGGAAACCGAGGCACCGCGGCATGGAAGATAGCCGAGAGGCGGTAGAAAAAGAGGGAGGCTGAGCGAGGGGCAAGGAAGGCAAGGGGGAAGGCGGGAGGGGATGACGTAGGTGTTGTGTACCCTATATGATGGGGCGCTTCCCATATTTATAAACACAGATCTACTGATAATAATTTATTGCATAAATCTAGGCTAAGATACCCCCTAACCATATCAAATGCATAATCATCACAAAATATAACTCTTCTAGTGAGATATTGCGCATGCGCCAACACACTGACGTAGGCAGATTGTGTACTGAGTGGTATATGTAGCTGGCACCTTACATGCAAGGTCTTCTTCCTATTTCTTGAGTGAGGTCTACTGATAGAATGTTATTATTTAAATCTATGCTAGAATACCTCCTGTTCATTATAAATGCATAATCCTTGCAAAATAATACTATTTTTTGATGATATTGCGCATGCACGAGCACCGTTTCAGGCGTGCAATACGGACTGATGAATACTGCATAACATAGCTTGCTGAGAGAGAGAGAGAGAGAGAGAGAGAGAGGGGAGGTGAGCGACTGAGGAAAGGCGGCAGGGAAGATAGCTGAGGGGCGGTGGAAGAAGAAGGAGGCTGAGGGACGGACAAGAAAGGCAAGGGAAAAGGCGGGAGGGGATGACGTAGGATTTTGTACCCTAGAGGCTGGGGCGCTCTCCTAATTATAAACACAGGTCTACTGATAATAATTTATTACATAAATCCAGACTGAGATACCCCATAACCAGATTAAATGCATAATCATCACAAAATATAACTCTTCTGGTGACATATTGCGCATGCGCCAACACACTAACGTAGACAGATTGCGTACTGAATGGTATATGCAGCGGGGACCTTAAATGCAAGGTCCTCTTCCTATTTCTCGAGTGAGGTCTACTGATAGAATGTTATAATATAAATCTATGCTAGAATACCTCCTCTTCGTTTTAAATGCATAATCTTTCCAAAATACTGTTTATTTCGTGTGATATTGCCCATGCGCGAGCACGGTTTCAGGCGTGCAGTACTGACTGAAGTAAACTGGTCAATATAGTTTGCTGAGGGAGAGAGGGGTGGGAAACCAAGGCACCGCGGCATGAAAGATAGCTGAGAGGCTGTAGAATAAGAAGGAGGCTGAGCGAGGGGCAAGGAAGGCAAGGGGAAAGCGGGAGGGGATGACGTAGGAGTTTTGTACCATATAGGCTGGGGCGCTCTCCTAATTATAAACACAGGTTTACTGATAATAATTTATTACATAAATTTAGGCTGAGATACCCCCTAACCATATTAAATGCATAATCATCACAAAATATAACTCTTCTAGTGAGATATTGCGCATGCGCCAACACACTCACGTAGACAAATTGTGTACTGACTGGTATATGCAGCGGTCACCTTACCTGCAAGTTCTTTCTCCTATTTCTTAAGTTAGGTCTACTGATGGAATATTGTCATATACATCTATGCTAGAATAACGCCTCTTTATTTAAAATGCATAATCTTTGCAAAATATTTTATTGTCCCTGGGAGATATTGCGCATGCACGAGCACCGTTTCAGGCGTGCAGTACGAACTAAAAAAAACTGCATAATATAGCTTGCTGAGAGAGAGAGGAGTAGGAGACTGAGGAAAGGCGACAGGGAAGATAGCTGAGGGGCGGTGGAAGTAGAAGGAGGCTGAGCGAGGGACAAGGAAGGCAAGGGGGAAAGCGGGAGGAAATGACGTAGGAGTTTTGTACCCTAGAGGCTGGGGCGCTCTCCTAATTATAAACACAGGTCTACTGATAATAATTTATTACATAAATCTAGGCTGAGATACCCCCTAACCATATTAAATGCATAATCATCACAAAATATGACTCTTCTAGTGAGATATTGCGCATGCGCCATCACACTGACGTAGACAGATTGTGTACTGAGTGGTATATGTAACTGGCACCTTACATGCAAGGTCTTCTTCCTATTTCTTGAGTGAGGTCTTCTGATAGAATGTTATCATATAAATCTATGCTAGAATACCTCCTCTTCATTCTAAATGCATAATCTTTGTAAAATATTACTCTTTTTGAATAAAATTGCGCTTGCGCGAGCACCGTTTCTGGCGTGCAATACGGACTGATGAATACTGCATAACATAGCTTGCTGATAAAGAGGGAGAGTGGGCGACTGAGAAACTGCGGCAGGGAAGATAGCTGAGATGCGGTAAAAAAGGAAGGAGGCTGAGCGAGGGACAAATAAGGCAAGGAGAAGGATGCGAGGGGATGAAGTAGGAGTTTTGTTCCCTACAGGCTGGGGCACTCTTCTATATATAAATACAGGTCTACTTATAATAATTTTTACATAAATCTAGGCTGAGATACCCCCTAACCATATTAAATGCATATTCATCACAAAATATATTCTTCTAATCACATTTGGCGGATGTTCTAACACGCTAACGTAGCCAGATTTTGTACTGACTGGTATATGCAGCGGTCACCTTACCTGCACGTTCTTTCTCCTATTTTTTAAGTGAGGTCTACTGATGGAATATAGTCATATACATCGATGCTAGATAACTCCTCTTCATTTTAAATGCATAATCTTTGCAAACTATTATTGTCCCCGGGAGATATTGCACATGTACGAGCACCGTTTCAGGCGTGCAGTACGGACTGAAGAAAACTGCATAATATAGCTTGCTGAGCGAAAGAGAGAGAGAGATAGAGAAAGAGAGCGAGAGAGAGCGCGAAAGCGCGAGAGAGAGAAAGAGAGAGAGAGAGGAGTAGGAGACTGAGGAAAGGCGGCAGTGAAGATAGCTGAGAAGCGGTGCAAGAAGAAGGAGGCTGAGCGAGGGACAAATATGGCAAGGGGAAGGACGGGAGGGGATGAAGTAGGAGTTTTGCACACTCCAGGCTGGGGCGCTCTCCTGATTATAAACACATGTCTACTGATAATAATTTATTACAGAAATCTAAGCTGAGATACCCCATAACCATATTAAATGCATAATCATCACAAAATACAACTCTTCTAGTGACATATTACGCATGCGCCAACACACTAACGTAGACAGATTGCGTACTGAGTGGTATATGCAGCGGGCACCTTACATGCAAGGTCCTCTTCCTATTTCTTGAGTGAGGTCTACTGATAGAATGTTATCATAGAAATCTATGCTAGAATACCTCCTCTTCATTTTAAATGCACAATCTTTGCAAAATATTATTATTTTCGGATGATATTGCGCATGCGCGAGCACCGTTTAATGCGTGCAGCACGGACTGATAAATACTGCATAACATAGCTTGCTGTGGGAGAGAGGGGTGGGAAACCGAGGCACCGCGGCATGGAAGATAGCTGAGAGGCGGTAGAAAAAGAGGGAGGCTGAGCGAGGAGCACGGAAGGCAAGGGGGAAGGCGGGAGGGGATGACGTAGGAATTGTGTACCCTATAGGCTGGGGCGCTCTCCTAATTATAAACACAGGTCTACTGATAATAATTTATTACATAAATCTAGGCTGTGATACCCCCTAACCATATCGAATGCATAATCATCACAAAATATAACTCTTCTAGTGAGATATTGCGCATGCGCCAACACACTGACGTAGACAGATTGTGTACTGAGTGGTATATGCAGCGGGCACCTTACATGCAAGGTCTTCTTCTTATTTCTTGAGTGAGGTCTACTGATAGAATGTTATCATATAAATCTATGCTAGAATACCTCCTCTTCGTTTTAAATGCATAATCCTTGCAAAATATTGTTTATTTCGTGGGATATTGCCCATGAACGAGCACGGTTTTAGGCGTGCAGTACGGACTAAAGTAAACTGTGCAATATAGCTTGCTGAGGGAGAGAGGGGTGGGAAACCGAGGCCAGCGCGAGGGGCAAGGAAGGCAAGTGCGAAGGCGGGAAGGGATAAAGTAGGTTTTTTGCACCCTACAGGCTGGGGCGCTCTCCTAATTATATACACAGGTCTACTGTTAATAATTTATTACATAAATCTAGGCTGAGATGCCCCTTAACCATATTAAATGCATATTCATCACAAAATATAACTCTTGCAGTAAGATATTGCGCATGCGATAACACACTAACGTTGCCAGATTGTGTATTGACTTGTATATGCAGCAGGCACCGCACATAAAGATATTTTTCCTATTTCTTAAGTGAGGTCTACTGATAGCATGTTATTATATAAATCTTTGCTAGAATACCTCCCCTTCATTTTAAATGCATAATTTTTGCAGAATCTTATTTTTCTCAGGAGATATTGCTCATGCGCGAGCACCGTTTCAGGCGTGCAGTACGGACGGAAGAAACCTGCATAATATAGCTTGCTGAGAGAGAGGTGGATTGAAGATTGAGGAAAGGCGGCAGAGACGATAGCTGAGGGGCGGTAGAAGAAGAAGGAGGTTGAACGAGGGAGTAAGCTCATTTTCCCCAGAAAGGGGCTAAGTTTCGTCATTTCATTCGGGCCACAGCTCGCCGACATGTCCGCGCCTTATTTATATACATTAGTATAGCAAGGAACCTAATGCAGCGCAATGCCGCCACATCGAAGCAGCGATATGGCGATTCAAAGTTGGGTAACAATTGTGCTTCTACACATGATATATTATTACAAACAACCACGTCTGTCTTTAAAAACAAATTAATCCACCTGGTCTCATTCTCCCTCGATATCCCCATTGGGTTTGCATCTGTGACATGGCGCCCCCTATCGACAATCTCCGAATAGTTTGTGATTGCGAATAATTATAACAAACAATATTGAACAACGTAGGCCTACGTAATATCGAACAATATTAACGTAGTATTATCAACGTAATATTAACGTAATATTAACAACTTAAAATTAACGTAATATTAACAACTTAATATTGAACAATGCGAATCACTATATCTGTTCGTATATAAAATACCTACGGCACGTATCCTACATTCATATTGAGACAGGTCTGATCTATATTGACAGCAAAAGCAAGTAATATTCATCGGTCACGACTGCGTTTCTGGAATATTGAGGTATAAGATAATTATCCTCGTGCGGGATTGCCTTATTATTAATTAAAGTACGCAGTAAATACCTCTGTACGTATGATTCTGCAGCGATTCAAACTGGGAACCAACGCTGAGACTGAAGAGGGTGAAAATTGAATCAAATGAGGGTGTCTATGTGTAATGTCTACATCCGTGTATTGGTTGCATTTCCGAATTTGCTGTCAACTGTTCACTTTCTGTAGCTATTTTCCTTCTGAAGCAGCCTGAGCTACCCTGCCTCTGCGTCATCAAGAGACATATAAGTTTAGTTTTTTTGGGAACACTGGCTCTCGAACCACTGGCTCGATTAGTGAAAGTCTGTAAAACCTTTATTGTTTATTATGCTTCGTATCGATTTGCGGATCTCTATTATCTCTATTATATGTGTCTGAATGTATAAGGTACCTGCAGTGATGACGAATGGCGTGTCAATCCATAATCATGGTAGTGATAATGCACACACACACGCGCGCACGCACACACACACGCGCACGATAACACAACACACAGAGACACACTCACACACACACGCGACGCGCACAGCACACAAAACAACACACACACCAAGCCCCAACCACGACCACACCACACCACGACCCCACCCAACACCACACACACCACACCACACCACAGCCACACCCACACCACACCACACCACAACACAACCACACCACAGCCACACCTACCACACACCACACCACCCCACCAACCCACCACACCACGACACACCTACACCACACCATAACCACACCACACCACACTACACCACGCTCTCTCTCTCTCTCCTCTCTCTCTCCTCTCTCTCTCTCTCTTTGTCTCACAGAACCACGCCGCGGCGCGCACACCACACCACAACACACGCACACACACACCACACAAACACACACACACGCACAGTCACCACACACAACAGCACAACACTACGCAACACATCCGGACAAAAGTCACCAGAAGACGCGGTTGGCACGGGCGCATCAATTTTAAGCATGTTATTATTACATAATACAATATCGGTTATTAAGAAGTCATTTGCTATTTTTTTGATTAACAAATAAAGATAACTTGATTCTCTGATCAATGTGATGTTCAAACACTACAATGGAAATGACCAGTGATACGTGACATACATAAGAGTAACCTACTTACTTACACGTATTTGTATACTGTGCGAATACTAGTGAGCCACATTGTAATTCACACGTAATGAAATAGAAGATGAGAGATGATACGTAATCTCGCATTGGCTGAACAAACTGTACATCATGCGATAATAGTTAAGTGTATCAAGCGTATCAATGACAGAACGTAACCCCTTATGAACGTCGCCGCACACGCACACGCACACGCACGCACACACACACACACGCGCGTGCACACGCACACAAACAAACAGATACATATACCTCGCACATACACAGACACTCATATATAATCACATCCGCAGTTTTCATACTTAATGATGTAGTTACCGCAATGATGTTGGTATTATCTAGCTATTTATCCATCTATCAATATCTATATTATTTTGTCTCTATCTAAATCGTCTGAATGATACATTCTTGACAATAATGTACATATAGTTATTGAACGATAATGCCGATGTTCGTTTCTCCTGAACAAATCTGAAAAAAAAACATTTCGTGGTACCAACTCTGTTTGCTTCAGTGCCAGTGCATTTGAAAAAACTCCTTGTCAATAATATCTAATCGGTTTTATATTTTTATTAAAGGCGGTCAACGATAAAGTATGCGTGTGTCATTCGTGTTTTGAAACGTGGCAAATTTACGTGATGTAAGGTTAAAATATTAGCGCCAATATGGCTTTCTAAACATCGAATCATCAGCTGTAATTACATTACATATCATTTCGTGATGCAAATGAAAGTGTTTAAGATTCATTACGTAACTGTAAAATAAATACCACTAAGAGCGTATTAAGCATATACTTAATATGCATATACTTAATACTTAATACGCTCTTGATACCACCAAGCTCAAATCAGATCACACAAAAATCTAGGTTATGTGACATTCAGTAACAAAACGGGAAGAAAGTAATGATGATTTATAATTCAATTATGAAATACTTTTATACAACTAATAAGTATTTATATATATATATATATATATATTAGATTCAATCACGCCATTGCGGGTCGGTTTTCATTGCATGATGCACAAACACATTTCCGCGAAAAAAATAAAATAAAACATTGCAACATCGGTTATCGATTTTTCATCTATATTTTCACCTACTGCACATTATCGCGGCTAGAGTAGAGGTCGTTGTCCACCATGCCCTCTCTCGCTGCCACCTCGTTTATCAAGTCAGTGCTACTGCTGACGTCATAGCCCTCGTTCTCGTGACCGCCGCCATTTTGATTCTGCTGCTCGGTAACATCCCAATTCTCGTAGAAATCCTCGGCGTCCTCCTCGTTATGAACCGGATCGTAGTGATCCTGGTAGTCGTCGGCCGGATCGTCGTACGTCGGATGTCCGTCCTCCGCTTTCGCGTCGTCGGTCTCCTGGTAAGCTCCATCGTCCTCCGGGATCTCGCCGGAGTTCCGCTTCCGGTCGAGAACCTGCTGCAGCATGGCGCGCCCCTTTTCCTCGTCTTCCTGTGAACATCCCTTGATGACGGAGTTGCCCTTGGGTTTCGACGGGCGAGCGTACAGCGCCGCGCTCAGCTGCTTCTTAAACGTGTTCGACGCACCCTGATCTATCTTGCCCATCTGTGGCTTTGGCAGTTTCGCCGGCGGCTGGTTTCCCTGCTCCACTGCGGGCGATTTGCCGTTGGGGGGACTGGGTACAGGTTTCTGCCCGATAGTTGGTTTCACTGGTGGCATCAACGGCTTCTGAGGCGGAGGAGGCTGCATGGCGTTCCCCACTGCGTACGGCACAGTAGGAGCAGCGCACGATGGCCTCTTGGAATGAGCTAGCGGAGCAGGAACGGGGGTTGGAGGGAGAGCCGGGGGAGGAGTACCGTTTGATTTTAGCGCGGACGGAGGCGGCATCATTATGCTTACGCCTCCCGAGGGAAGCGGAGGAGGAGGAGGAGGGATGATGCTGTTCTTGGCGACCTTGACTTCTCCTCCGGCGTCCAGCGGCACGCAGTGAGTTATGGAGGGACGTCGACTTCCGTTGCTGCTTCCGCCGCTGTTGTTGCTTGTTTTGCTGGGAGTTCTGTCGCGTTTCTGTGGAACGGCGACGTCGTCGTAGACGTATTCTCTGAGACAGGGTAAGTGCATCTTGGGAATCTTCAGAATTTTCCTGAAAAACGTGAACGAAAATGCGCGTGAAAGAAAGAAAGAAAGAAAGAAAGAAAGAAAGAAAGAAAGAAAGAAAGAAAGAAAGAAAGAAAGAAAGAAAGAAAGAAAGAAAGAAAGAAAGGTGCCAATAAGCCGCTCCGCACTGCCCGAACCTTTCGTTTAAATAAATAAATAAATATAAATAAGAAAATATAAGAAAATGAGAAAGAAAGAAAAAGAGGCGCCAGTAAGCGCCTTCGCTGAGCACTGCCCGGACCTCTCGTTTAAATACACGCGAATGCAGAGGCAGAAAATTAATCTATAGTCGATTGCTGCACGCGACTTCCTAGACGAACCTTACCGAAAACCTTTTCAACGACTTATTGTCATGGAATACACCGACGAGCGACTGTAACGGTCGCCGTTTGGTGACAATATTATTATTATAATGTGCATTATAATAAACGTTTTTGAGTTTTTAAGATGCACATTCAAGTATCACGGTATTTACGTATTTAAGTTGCACATTTAAGCTATTCACTTAAGTCTTTTTCCCCAAATTATGCGGCATTACTCATAATAATGAACTTACTTTCGATATAGAATCAGAAGCACGGAAACTATGGAGAGTAAGAGTAGAACAGAGAGCGCTATTCCAATTGCGATTCCAATATCTGTAAAACAAACCCACTCGATAAGGAATGTACCACAGTACTTATGTGTTATTATTATTATTATTATTATTATTTTATTATTATTATTATCGTCATTATCATCATCATTATAATATTATTAGCGTATTATTATCGGTATTATTATTAATATATATTATAATATAAATTATCATGATTAAAATTAAATAGGTATTATTATTAATATTAATTATAATTGAAATTATCATGATTAAAATTAAAAATAGTAGTATAAGAGTATTAAAGTATCATCACCGTGCACTGAACGATATTCATCAAAGTTACAGTTTACCTATAGATACATCGTCGAATTCAACGTTGGCTACTTTTTCATAAACAAAACTGGACGAGAAAAGTAGGCGTCATTGGCGCTATACTTTCCTTTGCTGTTTTTATTATTATTAAATAAAAATATTACGATAAAAAATAGTAGTATAAGAGTATTAAAGTGTCACCATCGTCGCTGAATGGCTCTCGTCAAAGTGACAGTTTACTTCATGTATCAATAGATACATAGTTTAAACGCTGGCTGTTTTTTATAAACAAAACAAGGGCATCGTTGGCGCCACACTTACCTTTGCTGTTTTTCTTTTTGGGCGCTTCACTTTCCACTCCACTGAAGCTAGGGGGCGCTAGATCATTCTCACCTGTAAAAAATAAACCGGTAAGGGCAATCACAGATGAGCGACAAATTTGTTGACGCGTGACTTCGTTTGCGATGGAACAAGGGAAAATTGTCGTTTTGGATAAATGTTATTCTTACCAATGCAAATAGGTGGCGCTGCGCTCCATTTGCCCGTACCAAGGCAATGTACCTCAGCCGGTCCATAAATTGAGTAGCCAGGGGTGCACGTATATACAACTGAGTAAGCTTTGTCTTCTCTTGAACGTCTGTCCAGTTTGTGCGTAGCATTTTGTACCATGATCGGCTTTCCGCAGTGAATACCTGTTAGGCGAAAGAATGGAAAAATCTCATTTGCAATAACATATTATCAGGAGTGTATCAAAACTATTTGATACACTCCTGATATTATTATAAAACCCACGGGTCGAATTTTATGCTTTAACACTTTTAGACTGCTAGATTCTCTCCCTCTGTGCTATCTTTCTACACACACACACACACACACACACACACACACACACACACACACACACACACACACACACACACACACACACACACACACACACACACACACTACACTCACGCACACACACACACACACACACACACACACACACACACACTCACACTCACGCACACACATCCGACAGATTCACAAAAGACGCAGTTTGGCAACGGGCATCAATTTTAACACGTTATTATTACATATACAATATCGGTTTAAAGTCATTGCTATTTTTTGGTTAACAAATAGATAACTTTATTCTCTGATCAATGTGATGTTCAAACACTACATGAAATGACCAGTGATGCGTACATACATACAGAGTAACTTACTTACTTACACGTATTCGTACTACTGGCGAATACTAGTGAGCCACATGTGTATTCACACGATGAATGAGAAGATGAGTAAGATGAGTACGTAGGCTAACAATACTGTACATCATGCGATAATAAAGATAGTGTTCAGCTGTATCATGACAGACGTCCCCCTTATGATAAACGTCCCGCACACACACACGCACACGCACGCACGCACACACACACACACACACACGCAAACACACACACACGCACGAGAATGCACATACGCACACGTTGTCGCTATACACTCGTCAGCTCACTTACAACCGAGTCCGTGGTCGAATGCAGACGCTATAAACGTTCGTGCCTAATGACTCGTGTGCGACATCATTTACTCGGCGCACTGTTTCTACTTTTTGCTCACGCGCTGCCTTTCCCTATACTGTCCGCTATAGCATTAACTCTAACCCTGAACCTAACCATAACCCTAACTATATCCGCAACTCAATAACCCCAATCCACGCTTCCCAAGCTCCCGCGTTTCAATATGAGATAATTATTAAGATGAATTCGCACGGGCAGACGTACGGCGATATTAATCATACAAGTCGGTGTTGAGCATGCGATGCCCATTACACCGGCGCTGACGATTGCTCCTTTGATTTAGACTTGCATCAAACAAACGCGACGTGCAATTAAATCAAAATTAATCTTGAGGGATTATTGCGTGCGGTCATGATGCGATGTATGCTGGGGGAGGAGGCTGCGTGTGGGAGCGTAATGATTCCCCAGGAGCTACTCCCCCACCCACTTCTCCATTCCACTGCCAGCCCCACACCATGCACACACACGCAGCCACCACTAATCACCGGCGATTGAATGTCGCCGCGGCGGTAAAGATTGGTGATTCTTTCTATAAGTGCCAAGTGCCGGTGCTATCGCGTGACCGTTCTTCGCCCTTTCCGCGTTCACCCTTTCTCTCTGCCTCTCACCTTTTTCTTTTCCTCGCTCCCTCTCTTTGCGCGGGCTCTCTCTTCCTTGCTTACACCATGGCTCTGGTTCTCTCGTTCTCACTATCTCTCTCGCTTTCGCGCTCTTTTGTTTTCTCACAATCTCGCTTTCTCGCTTTTTCGTTCGGTCGCTCTCTCGTTCCCATTCTCTCTCTCTCTCTCTCTCTCTCTCTCGGGCGCTCTCTTTCGCTTCCTCGCGTTCTCTCGCTCTCTCTCGTTGTCTCTCTTTCTCCCTTTCTCGTCTCTCGTTTTCTCGCTCTCTCGCTCTCTCGCTCTTTCATTCCCCCATCTCTCACTCTCGCTCGCTCTCTTTCCATTTCCCTCACTCAATCTACCACTCCTTTTCTCACAGTCCCTGCCATTCACTATCTTTTCGAGCCCGCGCGCTCTCTCTTCCTCTCGCTCTCACTGCTCCCCTACATCTCTATCTGGGCCCCCGGCCATCGCGAGGCATTCACTGCCTGAGCGTTTCTAATTGTTATTGGATCACGAATCGAGCAGGTGTTTTTTCCCCTCGGTGCGTGAGCGTGCGCTTTGTAGCGGTGCGCTCGCGCCGGCGTTCGATCGTCGACTTCGATTTGTTTCGCGCCGTATGAGCGATGCCGGGCACAATTCGCGAATTAATACGTAATGGATTGCTGACGACTCGCGTTTTGTCGTCTGCAATGTTTGCTCGCGCGTAGACTTCTGTATGTGTGAGGGTGATGCTGCGTGAATGATAGGATGCAGGCTGGTTTCTAGGATACTGACTGACCTCCACGATGCAGGTTGGCTTTTGGGATGCAGGCTGGTTACCAATAAAGCCGTACCCCCATCATGCAACCTCCGTCACCGTATCTCCGTCACGCTATCCCTGCCACCCTACCCCTGTCACCCTACCCTCGTTACCCTACCCCTGTTATCCTACCCCTGTCACCCTACCCCTGCTACCCTACCCCTGTCACCCTACCCCCGTTACCCTACCCCCGTCACCCTACCCCTGTCACGCTACCCCTGTCACCCTACCCCTGCTACCCTACCCCTGTCAC